ATTTTTAAAATCATATAAAAATTTCAATAACTTCTCAAATTCCATAATATGATAATATATATTGGGCCCCGTGCTGGCACGGGGTCCTATATCTAGTATATTCAATAAGTTTCTTACTACAAATTCTATTATAAATGTTATTATGTTTTTGGATTGTTTCATGCAACCTAACTACTCCTAGTTGGGAAAAGAACATGAAATATAAATAAATTTTAAATGCAATATTAAGTGCGATTGGATAATCTTGAACTTTCAACTTCATTTTTGTCAAGTTTTGATCTATGAATAACACATTTTGACTTTTTTAACCACGAAAATTTGTATGACCAAAAATTCAAAATCATTGATTTTCAAGATTATTCAGCATAATTTCTTGCATCGAAAATGATTAAATGGTAATATTTTTCTTTTGATTTTTCTTCTAGTACCCATATTGAAGTCCAACTCAATTTATTTTTTTTGGATAATAGAGTTTAAATCCATTTTGTTATTTGGACCAAAAGTGATCCAAAGTAGCAAATGAAGGGTCAAAATAAACATTATCCCATAAATATCAATTTTAGCTTAAAAAAACTCAGATTATTTCAGTTGAGCTTTGGGGAAGAAGAATCTTGAAAAGAAAAAAATCCTCCATAGTTGATTCCTTAAAGTTTTGTTCATGTACTAGGTTTATGAGTTTTCTTCCCTGTGCAAACCCTTCTCTCCATTTTCAAATCAAGTTCTGCTGTTACCCTTTTGACCCTGCAACTCCAAAACTACTATCACCTTTTTTCTAGGTAAACGTACTGCAAATTTTGATTCAAGATTCGATTTTTAGTTGTGTATTTCTGTTTATTCTTTGTCATTTTGCTGAAATATGAAATGGGGTTGTGCTAGTTTGGGTGGATTTAATGCCCATGTCATTTTTTTTTTGGGAATTTAGTAGCAAAGTATGAAATGGACCTGAATAGGGAAAAATGGATACACAACTTTTATGGTTCAATTTCTAGGTGTTTCGTTGTATTTTCGATCTCTTACTGTTTCATACATGTTTTATTTACTGATTCAAGTTTTGGTTCAAGCTTGGTGTTTTTACGTGGACAATAGCTGTGTCATGTGTGTGTTTCTGTTTGTTCTATGTTATTGTGGTGAAATATGAAATTGGTTTGTGAATTGTGATACTTCTAAGAACTGAGTAAGTTGGGTGGATTTGATGCCCACATCATTCTTTTTGGGAATTTAGTATTAAGTAATGAAAATGCACCCGAATAGATCAAAATGGATACCAGGATTCGTATAGCTGACTTCTTGGAATGACTATCACCTTTTGCGGTCCAATTTCTAGTTGCTTCACGTATGTCTTGCTTACAGTTGCAAATTTTGGGTTCAAGCTTCAATTTTTTTGGTCATAAATGTGTGTATTTATATTTTTTTCTTTGTCATTGTGCTAAAATGAGATGAGTTTGTGCTAGTTTATGACAATTCTAAGAACTGATTAAGTTGGGTGGATTTGACGCCCACATCATTCTTTTTGGGAGTTTAGTAACAAATAATGAAATGGACCCGAATTGAGCAAAATGGATACACAACTACCATCACCTTTTATGGTCCAATTTCTACGTGCTTCATCGTATTTTCATTCTCATACTGCTTCATACTTATTTTATTTACTGTTTCAAGCTTCGATTTTTTTCACTTGGACAATAGATGTCTCATATGTGTATCTATATTTGTAATTTGTCTTGCTGCTGAAATATGAAATGGGTTTGTGCTAGTCTGTTATGCTTCTAAGAACTGATTAAGTTGAGTGGAATGTGACACATTATTTTTTTGGGAATTTAGTATCAAGGAATGAAAATGGACCTGAATAGATCAAAAGGGACTCCCAGGATTCTTATAGCTGACTTCTAATTAGAATCTTACGAAACTGCAATGGTAAAACCACCATCACCTTTTGTGCAATTTCTAGGTACTTAAGTGTATTTCATTTTCTCGATGCTTCATATATGTCTCACTTAGTGTTGCAAGTTTGGTTCATTCTTCGATTTTTCACATGGACAATAGATGTGTCATTTGTGTGTAGATATTTGTCATGGTGCTGAAATATGAAATGGGTTTGTTCTAGTTTGTGATACTTCCAAGAGCTGATCAAGTTTGGTGGATTAAATGCCCAGAACATCATTCTTTTTGGAAATCTAGTATCTAAGAAAGAAATGGATCCAAATAGAGCTAAATGGATACATCGGATTATAGAATTGACTCTAATAGATTGGAGTTGAGACATAGTTGGTTGATTGATTTCTTTTCCGTAAAAAAAGATAAGTAGTGTCTAGAAGTGAAGTGAAGGCATTGTTGAAGGAGAGAATGGCGGATAGGTCTGAATTTGGTAGGCGATGCGGGACTTGTATTAACAGCAAGTGCATTTGCTATTCCACCCTAAAAATTCTATCTTTTTGTATCCCGTTTGGCGAACTTACTAGGAGAATTTAATTTGAGTGACCAAGCTAAGACGTTATACGAAGAGAGTATCCAACCAATCACAGCTAGCAGTTCTGCATTTGCTCTCGGATATGAATTTGAGTGATTTGGCTTCTATTTTGTTACTTCCCCAAACCTGCTGACTGTTTGGGGCAAAAGTGGGATTAGGAAACCAGCAAGAAGTCTGTGGGTTACAGTGCCGACTTGTATCTGTTGGGTTCTGTGGACGGAAATAAATGCCAGGTTTTTGTAGGGAAAGCTGTCTCTGTACAAATGTCTTTAGCTTATGGCTTTTTGGTGCAACTTTACAGGATGTAAAGGATGGAAACAGTATGTTCGATATTATCAATTCACTACAGGAATATATTTTTCTGTATAGATAGGTGCCCCTCTTTTTGTTTTTGCATGGGGATATCTGATTTGTGCCTACAGAGAACCTTCTCAGCGCTTTGCTGTTTATCTCAATATACTTACCAGTTCAAAAAAGAAGAAGATTGGATTAGTTTCTTTCTGTTGTGTATCCCTTTTTCCCCTTACTTTTGGTGTTCTCATATTAACAAGATTCATGTCTGCAATTTTACAAAGGAATTTTATGAAGAATTTGTTTAAAATTGATCCGCACCTAGTTTTATTGACCTTAAAATACCAGGCACGACCAAATTCATTTTTTATTACTTTAGTCTTTTGTATCTGTATGCAGATTATTTTTATCTTTGACTATATGTCATATTGGCTAGTATTTACCCTTTAATCTGTGTTCTCTTGTTGCAGGTCAGTTCTGAAGTTCTCACAGACGGATGTCTGATTGTACTTGACAGAAATATAAAGGTGAAGTTAAGAGGTACAACTTACATGGACATTGATGAAGCATGCCTGTATTTGGTTATTTTCTTCCTTAGAAGGCAAAGTAAGTCCATGTCACATTTCATGTCCAGTAATACTTTCCCTTTTTGTTCCAGTGCTATTTTGTCTCAGTGTTGATGGGGGCCAAACGCACCAGATTACAGGGTGAATGTGACGACTGGAAAAAGTTTTCAGTTCCACCCGGTTTTGAATCACTAACGTCCTTCACACTACAGAAGGTAGAAAATAATGAGGAAGCCTGTAACTCTGTGGCTGTTGGGAATGAGTCTGAGCAAGGTCCTATCCAGGTTGCTTCTACATCAACAATTATTAGCACAGGAAAGCTTAAGAGTTCTGTTAGGCGTAGACCTTGGATACTTGATGATCATGTTGATCACATGGAAGAGGATTTTGAATGTGAAGCTGATAAGGTCAGTAAGATTTTCATAAAATTTTCTCATAAATCCCTTTTTTATTTCCATACGTAGTATAAACATATTAATGATGGATTTCAATTAAATTGATTAAACTATAAGTTTTGAGTTTGTGTCACCTTCAATATGTTTACTGCTGTAAAAGAATTCCCCTTGTGGTGCTTATTGAGAAGGCAGGAAAAGAAGAGTGAAGACCATAGCTGATGCTTCTGGTTGGACTGGATGAGATAAACATATCTGGTGAGAGGTGCATATGGGGATAATATTTTTGGGCCTTACTGAGGATTATTCCTGTTGACCATATGCATCCTTGTGTTCTTGGAACAAGATGAACACTGTTAACGGACAAAAACACTGGGTGATTTCTTCTCATCTGTCCTTGCCTTAGTGGACAGAGTTACCAAGTACCTGCACTGGCAGGAAGTGGCAAATATCCTTTGGAATTAGTCGAGGTGCGCACAAATTGGTTCAGACGCCATGGTTATCAAAAAGAACACTGTGTCAACTGATAGGTGATTAGAAGTAGGAAAAAATGGAGGATTTTTTCAAGATATTTCATCTTTATGGCCAAGTGGTATAGCAAGGGAGGACAGGATGGGTATGTTAAGGCCCAGGTGCAAAACGTGATTGCTTTGCAGTGCAATCTTGCTATAGGTATCTGGATTATAGAGGAGGAATAGAACCTATATGGAGAAATATGTTTGTAAGTCAGAACCAAAAAAGTGGTTTCCTTTGCATAGTATGCTGTGTGAGACACTATCTTTAGGACACTATTTAGAAAGGAGGGGTTTGAATAAACCTGAATTATTGTTGTATGCGCTAGAAAGAAAGGGAGGTCCCTAATCTTATCTTTCTTCATTATTGCAATGCAGCCGAGTTGGACTCGTGTCGTGTTCAATATATCATGGGTATTACCTTGTGCTGGGGTTCTCAAGCTCAGGACAAGAGATAGTTTCACTGTCATTAGATTGTGTGTCAACATGAGCCAACGTCAGCAGAAAGGAGGAGAAGACGGAAGGCTGTATTCAAAATCTATGTCGGAATTGGCCAGTGCAAAGATAATCATTGATGCTGGGAGTTTGGATAACATAGCGTCCACGGAGATGGTAGATCAGTTGGGGCTGAAGCCCTTTTAAGTAAGGGCCTCATCCAGAGCCCTATCGAATCAGATCAAAAAGGGCATGAGCGGCGGGCCCTATGTTGAGTAAGGGGGGAGAAGGTGCCCCTTCTGCTGAAATCAGTTGGGGCTAAATATGCCTTTGCAAAATAAGGAAAGAAAAGGAGGATATCTAAAGGGGTGGATAGTTTTTTGGGAGCTCTACAACTGAGCATTTGTACCTACTAACCCTTTATTCTCTGTTTGCCCCGCACTACACAGGCGGGG